GATATTGGGATTGTGTACAGGGGAGGGAGTGGGAGGGGGATATTGGGATTGTGTACAGGGGAGGGAGTGGGAAGGAGATTAAACATCTAGGGTTCTTTGTGAAGGTTCTCAAATAGTCTGCTTTCACATGATGATCACTTTCAAGTTGTTAAAATTAAAAATAGTGGAATAATTTTTTAGCTGAAGCACAGCTAACCTCACAGAGTGGCAAAAGAAGCAGATTCTAAATAAAGCAGGTCTTTGTGCTCTTGTAGCATTGACATGCCATTTCTCCATCAGCTTGGTTCAAAATTATCCCTTAATGAATTCTCAATTTTTATATAACAAGGGACACTTTCTCTAAGGTAAAAGTTCAACTGGGGTCATTAGACTATAAACTATTATATCAACAACTCTATATAGAGCATTCTTTCATCACTAAAATAATTCTTTCAAAGTGCTCCTACATTATCCATTGTGCTCCTGAGTTTTAAACTGCAGAGAGATATTTGCCCCAACCTTGGTTCTGGGCTCAAAGCAGGGGTCTCTGCTTTTTTTATTCATTCACAGGATGAGGGTGTTGCTGGCTAGGCCAGTATTTATTATCCATCCCTAATTGCCCAGAGGGCAGTTCAGAGTCAACCATATTGCTGTGGGTCTGGAGTCACATGTAGACCAGACCAGGTAAGAATGGCAGTTTTCTTCCCTAAAGGGCACTAGTGAACCAGATGGGGTTTTCCAACAATTGACACATGGTCATTAATTCCAGATTTTAAATTGAATTCAAATTCCACCATCTGCCATGGCAGGAATCCAGGTCCTTGGAACATTACTTGGGTCTCTGGATTAGTAGTCCAGCGATAATACCACTAGGCCACTGCTTCTGCCTCACCTGGGACTAACAGTCATGGCCCTGATGTTACTGTTAGTCTCTGAATGAGGGAGGAGGAGGACATTAGCCAGGGCTCCTGCTCCTGATCAATAACCAGCAATTCCTGACTGGCTGATGTCTGAGGGTAGAATTGGGTTTAGCTTCAGTGCCCATGTGTTCAATGCTCTGCTGATGCCTACTAGCCATCCTCACACATGTGTGAGAAACTATATTTAGGGAGTAACTGTGGGAGCTGCACTGCAGGAGGACACTGAAGCTTCAGAACAGGATGGAGCAAAACTGAAAAAGTATCTACCTAGTTCTTGTTCTGTCTAAAGTCAGAGAGATCATGACTGAAAGGTTCTATTCAACCTCTGTGATAAAGAAATGTCCCAGGTTATACAATGGGCTGTTACTACCTCCTGGGCTTCTTGATTCCTCCTGTTTTGTTCATTCAAATCCTGCCATTTGATCTTCAGACAACACCTCACCCAGTCGCCAACACCCACACCTCTACTGTCCTTCAGACAGTTCCAAGCTGAACAATATTCATTCATCATTTTTATTGATCTTCTTTCCAAATAAAGTTTTATTTCACCTTTAGAAGGTTTCAGTTTTCAGGCTGAATTCTTACAACTGTTAGAGGGTCAGTTTGCACCTAAATCTTTAATGTGTTGCACACTTTGATTCCCGGTCCTTCCTGGTGCACAGGGCTGTTTGAATTTGGAAGGTGCTGTACGGTTGGGTAAAGGGGAGGGGGCCAGGCCACATCAGCTCAGTTTGAGGCCTCAGAAAGCTATACATATGGAAGAGTCAGTCCTGGTGCAGGATCAACCTTCAAGGGGAGGCTTCACAATGTTCACACACACAAGCAGCACTCCACCATTGAACAACCATCATCGCAACATGGGGGCAAACAGCCAGCTGGAGAACAGGCTGATGTGTACAATGAGGATCCATTGCTCACGATCGACAGAGAATCTTGCTGGTTATTGATCAGCCAGGGTTCAAGGGGCAGTGATAATGAAAGACTGGGTTTGCAAGCTGAGGGTCCTGCATGGAAAGAAAGATTTGGATCCAGTGCATCAAACACAGCAGTAGTAGTAGCATTGTATACCCACTGTCACTTGCACAAAAACAATATCAAACGCCACTAACAACTTTCAACATTCTCCCATACCCCACTCCCTCCCTTATTCTCCCACCCTCCCCACACCTTGCCCCGCAACTCCCCCACCCTGGTGCCAGTTTACATGCAGCAGTTTCGGAGCGGCCAACATTCCTGATTGGGTCAGTTCAACAGCAATATCACGAGGTCTTGGTCTGCTCGCCTTGTCAGTATTCCCCTTGACATTCCTGTTATTCATGATGGCAAAGTGAGGGCATTAACCCTTTCCAAACCAGCGCAGTCAAACTGTCTGTCCCCTGTGTGTGTGCGCCACATGCATCGCCACAGAGAGTGAAACAACGCTTCCATTACTGTTGGTTAACAAAGGGTTAAGCAGTTTCTCCAGCCACTGTTTGAGTTGCTGGACTGTGTGCTCACGGTCACTGTTGGTCACTGAGGGTCACTTAGACATATTGTTCCTTTGAGTAAATGTACGGGGCCCGAGAACCAGGCTGGGGGTATCTGTGGGAGGAACTGGGGTGGCAAGGAATATCGGGGGATCTATACGATAACTGATTATAAATAGGGTGGAGTTGCTCCAAGTAGTCATCATGATAATTGTGCCGGCCACTCACGTATTCATTCTCATCTGGTAATTCTTCATAGCGGTTCCCATTGTACTGTGGAGATGAAAAAAACACAGGGTCAGATTTCCCAATCAGCTTGGTGTTGAGCTTTGAGAAACCTAACAACAGAAATCCAATAATAACATTCTTGTATCGGCCTGGGCTGACCCTCACTGGGACAAAAGCGTGCTTTGTGGTACCTTCACAAGGAACTCTAGCACTGACCTCATCCACTGGTCATGCATCTGAGTTCACACACACACATACACACTCACACACATACACACTCACACACACACACACACACACACACACACACACACACACACACACAC